TCATTAAAATGTGCCAGATGGAAGTTTGCAGCGTGTCACCCTGAGGGCTTCTCCTCAGGGGATGTGTTGACCTATCTCCATCCGGGGATCTGATTTCCTTGGAGCCCCACACCCACCTTAGCAGGAAAGTAAGAAAGCTCCCCTTGGATTTCCCTGGCTCCCTCACTGCCTCTGCCTTCAGGTGGGTCCTTTGTTCTGTCACCTGTATTGGAAAACCACAGTGGAAATTTCAGTGGAGCTCCCAGCTCTGGGGTTTGCTCTGAAAGTATAGGGTGTGTTCTCTGACCCAAAGGTAACAGATCACTGAGTTTGTGCCAATACCAGGGGCTTCGCATGGACAAATGGTATAGAGAAATTGGAAACTTTTCATCCAGATTTAGCTAGACTGGGAAATGAATCAAGTTTCCAAAAGTGCTTTGCATACCAACAGCTTTCTGCTTGGGAGTAAATGTTCCCATCACCAAACGATCAACCTTTCACTTACATCCCATTCTCAGGGGAACACAATGCTTTCTTCTGGCCCCAACTCGGCTCCTCACAATCACCTTCCCTCAGGATGGGTGTCTCATTTCTTCAAAACTTTTCTTCCACCTCAGTCTCATGGGAACCTTTCAACAAACCACTTAGAAGGGTGTGTGTGTGTGTGTGTGTGTGTGTGTGTGTGAATCCTAAAAATAACATACAGTTCTTATAAGAATTTTAGAGAATTAGGAGATCTGAGTACCTTATACATATTTGAAATTTGTTTTAAAGTCAAACCATCCAAGTTCACTCTATTTTAAGTTATTCATCTGAGCTCTGGGGTTGATATTTTTGACATAACAGCCATGTAGCTCAATTATGAGGATAAACATACAAACATCTTTGTGAAAACCTGTGGGACAGAGGCCTTTGGGATCTTTAGGTACTATCACTACCTACAGTGCTTCTATTTACAAAGAACAATGTCAGATCAAGATTTATCATGGTTCCAATATTGTACAGACTTCCTTCTACAAATGTACACATGCATAACATTATACCTTTATGTATAACTTCTCAGCTCACGGAAGTTAAAATAAAAACGACTTCAATACTAATGGTTTGACCACTGAAGTATCCAAATATGCCAGAATTATTGTACATCTTTGACTCTCCCAAGGTACAGAGATTCAGATATAATCATAGGATAAAAATAATAATTAATATTTAAAATCTGTTGGTGACAAAATTATACTAAGTGCCTTTATGCCAAGTTGGCCAATTCAAAAAAGCTTTTATTGTGAATAAAGGTGATATCTGAGGTTCTCTGTTTGGTTTGACAAGATGCATGTGGTTCCCACAGTGACATAATTTGCAGAGACGGTGGCTTCCAAAGTTTGTAGCACAGATTTATACAGAAATAATAATAGGAAGTATAATAGGCAACTTTGACAGATGGGGAAAAACAGTGGAAGAATGTAGGAACCCGATGAATCACGGTGATCCAAAGTAGATGTATTAAACAAAACCATGGTTTGGTCATTTGCTTCACGGTTCTGCAAGCCTCTTTGGATTATGGTGCCGAGAGTTTTGATTTTATTTATTTATTTTTAATTATTATTTGGAGTTTTTCAGCTCCAAAGTCTTGTCATGATGATTTTCCCCATCAGTAACTTATTGCCATAAAATAAGTGAATTGATGAGTTAGCCCCAGCTTTATCTGAGCCATGGTAATTAGGATAGCATCACCTTTCCTTTGTGAACTGTGGCAGAACTGCCCTTGGTGGGAACCCAGAAGACATAGTCCATTTATGAGAAGCTTTGGACAAAACTTTAGAAATGTTTCTTAGGCTTCCTGAGGGAAGTCTCAACTCTTCTCTCAGGTTCTCTGAATGAACTTGAGTTGGTCCCTACGCCTCCAGCTGCAGACTTGGGCCGTCCTTCCTTCTTTCCCCCACTCAAGAGCTGCCCTTTCAGAGGACCTCAAACCACCCCACTGAGCCCTGGACATAACGTCACGTCCACAGGGATGACGACTTCGTGAGTTGGATGGTTAAGCCTTGGGATCTGTTGGAAACTCACTGATGCCCAACTTAGCGCTGACGAAGATCCATGATTATGGTGGGGAGAATGGGCATGGCCTTTCCTACACCACTGCCATTGATCAACACCATGATTCTTCCCTTCAGTCTATGCTTTAACTCCAACATAATGAAAAGTAGGGCCATGCACACTATTCACAAATATCCTAAGTCCACTAGAAACAGAGCCTCAGTTCTCCTTCTGCACCAACCCAGAGTCTTCCCTGTCATCTATATGAGGGGGTGACCAAGCCCTAAGGGTGGGGTTGGATAGCAGGAAGGCAGGAGACAAATTGTACCCACAAATCCTTCTCTTACTTGATAACTGTGGTCCAGGCCCCTCCTTCTGATAGTCTGTGCTCTTCTTGCTGTGGTAGGCCATGTAGAAGGGCCAAGAGCAAGTGTGATCCACTCCATGGACTTATGCAAGTAGGAAAGCTGATCAAATCAGTCTCATGTTAGGTACAACAATAGAAACAAAAGAAGAGAAAACTCTATCTGAAAATTTGTAATTCCTTAAAAAAAAAAAGGCAAGGGGAAACAGTAAAATAATAATGCAATCCCTGCAAACAGTTCATACCTGCTTGTTCTGTGCCAAGCAGAGAACTTGGCACCAGCGATATTAAGATGGCTATGCTTCCTGCCTCAGGAACTCACGGTCTATCCTGGCAGCCGACGCACACACACCACAGCCACACAAAACAGAGTCTTGAAACGAAAATGGGCTTTGGGTCTGCAGAGAACAGAAGTGATGTCTCAGGGAGAAGGTAGCACAGTCAGAGCATAGGGATCCTGCAGAATGAAGCCCGTCTGCAGAGACCATCTAGTGGTTTGGTTTGGAGTGGGCAAACAGGGGAGGCTCCTGGAGACAGGAGAGGTGTTTGGGCTGAGCTGTAAAGGCAAGGGGGTAGGTGGTCATTAAAGATTTGGACAGGGAACTCAGAGCTGAGCTTCTGCTTTAGGTACTCACTCTGGTATACCTGGGGAGGATGGGCAGGAAGTGGGGAAACGGGAAGCAGGAAGCTCTCCTGCAGGCTGCCATGTTCATAGTCTAGCATGAGCTGGTGTACACTGGACCAGGCGCAGAACGGGAGTATGGGAAGTAGAAAGATTCAACAGGTAGAATGGATTTAACCTGGGGACCAACTGGCTAGAAGGGAAGATGGAGAGAGCTAATTCCTGAAGCCCACTAAGAAAGGAGCAAGAATCTAGCACTGTGTGCAATTTGGTGAGGAAATGAATTTCAGTTGCAAACATTTGGTTGCTCTCCAGTTTCTCAAAAACAAGACTGCTTTGCTAAGTAGTTACCCAGGACTTCTGCTATTATGCTCTAGAAAAAGTGATGAATATGCTATTCAGATGTTTTCTGGGGTAAACAATTGAGCCCATTTATTTGCTTGTTTATTTTCCTTAGCAAATGAAACCCAGTGCTGGGTCTTGACCTCTCTGGGTTCTGGGTGGGACAGCACTCATGGACTTCCAGGAATGGCATAGCCACAGCTTCCCAGCATTGGGCAAAATGCATTGTCCCATTATAACTTCCCAAACTAGATGCTTTACTGGTTCCTAAAGATAGCAGAGATGTGTGCATGTCTGTGGTGCATCAGAACAGAGAAATGAAGACTGAAGGAGCAGGTGGATTTTTCACAAGAATCCATCTTCTGTTCTTATTTACAGCCTTTCTAGAGAAGTTTGATTCCGGGCATCACCATTCAAAATTGAACTTCTTTAAAACTAGGCTGGCCTTAATTATCTGAGTGTCCCAGTTCTTGTCTGATACTTTCTGCTGCCTCCTCTTGAAACAGAGCTTCCAAATTCCTCCAGCTTGGCACTTCCACTCCACCGAAGAACAAGGCTTAGGGAACATCCCTCTCACCCCAAACACACTTCCTGATCATGCTTGACTTGCTTATCAGTAGAGTTGGTGGGGACATGAGCAAGTGAATTGGCTTGGAGATCTGAGTCAGAATCCCAGATGGAGGGATTTATGAGTTTTTTGTGCAGAGTTTGAGTAAACTCCGGGAGTTTGTGATGGACAGGGAGGCCTGGCGTGCTGCGATTCATGGGGTCGCAAAGAGTAGGACACGACTGAGCGACTGAACTGAAGGGAACTGAACTGAGGGTCACAAAGTTTAGTCCAGGGCTCAAATCCACCTCCTGTCTGTTCTCATACAGCCTGTGGAGCTAAGAATGGTTTTTACATTTTTAAATGGTTGGAAGAAAAAGCCCAACAAGAATAATATTTCATCACATATGAAAATTATATAAAATTCAAATTTCGGTGTCCATAAATAAAGTTTTGAATTTCATCAACAAAAAGTTGGAAATTTATTTCCTCTCTTGTTATATAAGTATCTACGTCATATCTTTGATCTTGGCCTGCAAAGTCTAAAATCCTTGCTATCTTACTTTTTATAAAAGAATTTCCAGGTGTTGGAACTTTCTTTTCTTTCACCTAAAAAGGCTGAATTAAAAACCCTGGCTAGGATGGAAAGATCTTTTAAATCCTTGTCCAAGTTATTATTATTATTATTTGGTAACTTATTGTTTGAGGCTTCCCTGAAGGCTCAGCAGTAAAGAAGCCACCTGCTAATGCAGGAGACATAGGTTCAATCCCTGGGTTGGGAAGATCCCCTGGAGAAGGAAATGGCAACCTGCTCCAATATTCTTCCTGGAGAATCCCATGGACAAAGGAGCCTGGTGGGCTATACAGTCCACGGGGTCGCAGAAGAGTCAGACATGACTTAGCAACTAAACTGCAGCTTATTATTTATCCAAGTAAGTTATTACTTATCCAAATAGGTATATTGGCTGCATCTTTATTCTTTGCCATTTGACCTTTGCAAGGAGATAACACTGCTGATATTGTACTGGTAATAATGATCATGGTCCTTTGAATGCTGGGAGCCAGGGAGGGGTAACGCAGCAGAACTGACCGGCCACTCTTTCTGCCCGTAGGTCACAGGCCTTTCCAGTGCCGCTACTGTCCCTACAGTGCCTCTCAGAAGGGAAATCTGAAGACCCACGTCCTCTGTGTCCATCGCATGCCTTTTGACAACAGCCAATACCCCGACCGCAGGTTCAAGCGCTCCAGAGTCGACTCAGAGGCTTCTGGGAATTTCGAAGACCCCGCAGCTGTCAAGGCGGGGAGCTCAGCGGAGTTAACGGAGGAAGGCAGCAAGGCCCAGGAGGAGCGCAACTGAGCCAACCAATTCGGAGATTGCAATATTATTTTACACAGTTTTCAGATTATGCATCTGGTAAAAGAGTTTGCTAACTGTATTCCAAGGGGAAAAATCATGTGCAACCCCCACTAGTGTATAGAACATTTAAAAATTTTAAAAAGATATCTATATATATATTAAAAAAAAAAAATCCCCAGCCCTTGAAAATGGCTGCTAAACTGTTACCCGGCAACAAGTACTTCCAAACAATGCAGGTGGGAGAAAAGGGATTTCAGAAATGCTTGGTGTCCTCCGAGCTCAAGAAAGCTGGGGGGCCCTTCCAACGCTAGAGTCGGCTATGTCCAAAAATCAAGCTCTTAACTGCAAAACGATGCCATCTAAATGATTTAGTGTTGCCTTGAAGATGGAGGGGCTGTGTTTTCATTGTTGAAAACACCTCTATAATCTGACACCAGCTGCTGTCATCTGCCTCGCACCCTAATGGGATGTGTTGGGAGGCAGTCGCGGTGCCAGTCAGACTGGAGCGGTCACTGCAGAGAAAATCAATTCACGTGGTGTCGTAACTGCACTCTTGGAGAAATCTTAGCCGGCCCGCAGCCAGCGCCAGGGCAGACCAGCTCTGCAGAGGCTTGCCATCTTCAATGTGCATTTTAAAAAAATCCACAGCCAAATGAATCAATGGTCAGGAAGTGTCTGCAGACAAATGTCCATTGCAGGTTTGATGAGTAATTCCTTTTTTTAGATCAAATTGCAGTATAGAGGGAAATGCTTTTTCTCGGTTGTGGTTTTTTTTTCCTTTAATTTTTGGAGGAATTTGCAAGAAGGTTGCTAATTAAAAAAATAGGGATATATGATATCAAATGCTTAGAACTAGCCCACCCTACTCACAGAAGGTGCTGGGGAAGAATGGAAATTTACGTAATAGTAGAAAGATTGTTTTTATTATGATTTTTAAAATGTTACTTGAATGAAGGCTGCTCCAGTCCTTATTATCAGATTTTTTTCATCTGTTAGTTTTTGTAAGTGTCATAGACATGAAGCAAGATTTTCTTCTCCAGCAAGCTCTTATGAAATAGCTTGTATTAAAATATGAATCTAAACATCCTGCTCTCTATCACTAATGAAGAAAACTGTTTAAGTTAAAATGTCTGTTTTTGTAAAACAAATGTGTTCTATATTTTTGTAGATTTTAGATTTTCTACTGATTGGATACTCCAAATTTATCAAGTTCTGCACCACCCAGAGGGAGATTTGGAGGGCCAATAATGAAACACTTGACTCATTTTTTTAACAATTTATGAAGACTAGTTAAGGGTTTATTCTTGAATCTGCTAGTGTGGCGTCAGTTCAGCCTCTTAACATATTTCCTTTGAGTGACACGAAATTGGTGCTGTTGCTTGTGACGGTGGAGAAGTACTGAAGTATTAACTTCTTCTAAGACAAAATTATTCAGACTTTAAAAAAAAAGATCGATATTTCCTTGCAGGCTGGGAGCACAGAATAAAACCCCAGGGCCTTAAAAACTTCAGCTCTGCCTACAGCAGTTTACAAAAATACTAAACTGCAATCAATGTAAATAAAATGCTTCGCTATCCTGAGACCAGAAGGAATCTCAGGCTAATAAGGAATCCGGTTTGCATATGCTGTCGAGAGGGTGACATCCACCCGGGGTTTCAGTGTAAACGCAATCACTGTACAATGTGGACCCATCTGGCATAGAGCAAGCTGCTTTCTTGTTTTTCTAGAATAGTTCTCACTGCCTTACTTAAATCGAGTTGATAAACTTAATGCAACTGTTTCTATGATCCTAGAGAAAGGACTGAAATGTTATTGAAAACTTTCCGACTGTAGTAAGCTTTAGGATTTTAACTGCACTACTGTGTTTGGTGACTGTGCCAGTCGCTTGCTTTCTGTGTGTTTGCCCCCGCCTTTGGTATCTTAGCAAAGAAAAATATAAAAAAGAAGAAAAAAAAAAAAGTAAAAAGAGGAAAAAAGAGGAAAAAAAAGTGGAAAAAAAAAAAAAACGAGAGCCACATTCCATTTCTAGCACTTTGGGCGCTCTTTCAGTATCCTTTTGTGTCTTCTGAGCATCGTCAGATGCGACAGGCAATAATTCTGTTTGTGACACTGGGAACATCCCCTCTTCTTTGTGGCGTGTGCGTTGATCCCATTTTGTCCAGTGCTACCGTCCTTATTTCCCCCCTGACACAGGCCTTCTCTCCAGAACATTTGTAACTTGTAATGCAAACAAGTGACAGCCGCAGTGATGCAGTGTCAGTTTCTGAATGTCATCAGGTTCTCATATCTAAACATGTCAAGTTTCTTCCCTGTAACTTCTGTAGTCTGTGATGCTGGTCATAATACTGTCTACATTCCTACACAAAGAAAAAAAAAATCTATCTTGGAGGAAATCTGAGATCAATAGAGTAGAGGATTTTGTTGCTATGCTTGTAACAAGTAGAAAACTTTGTATTTAAAGTTTATTCTTGGTCATTATTTATTATTATAATACATCAGTTGACAGAACTTTATTCTGGTATAGAAAGTATTAAAAGTTGTTTTTTCAGCAATGACTGTTTTCTTTCTGCTGTTAGAATAAAATGTCTTTGAAGCAGTCCAGTTTTATCCAGTGTTTTACGCAATAAAACCTCTACCTCTGGAAAAAAAAAAAAAAACATTTCTTCCTATTCGCGTATGTTTACTAGGAGAAGCAAAACATATTTTTGTAGCTTTGTCAGACTCGGGTAATGCTTGGTCAAACCGCACTTCTAACAAAAAGCCCTGCAGTATTCTGTGTGGATGGTTCCCACAGCCTGGTTCTTTTTCAAATTTCAAGCTGAAAGTGTATCTCTGGGTGTACAAACAGCGTGTGTGTGTGTGTGTGTGTGTGTGTGTGTGTGCGTGTGTGCATGCACACACACCCATGTGCATGTGTTTCTTTGAAAGCTTGCAGACATGGGTTACAGTGAGGTAATACCCATGCAAACACCAATGCTCCTCATATTATAGTAATTACACCAGACACTTAAAGCATTGGGATCTATTATTCTCCTTTACTAGTAGCAAGTTTTTTTTAAAAATCATTAAAAACTAGGAAGTCTTTTACCTCCGATCAGAGGACAAGCTGAATTCTCTCTCCAGAAGCAAAGGAAAAGAACAAAGAATAATAAAAATCTATGGTTTCAGGGCTACATAAAAAGCAGAATTCTGACACTGGTCTTCTCGGGTTTGGTGTGCGCCCCACACTTGATGTGCAGGCTTGCTTTTTTACTTATTTTTCATTGTTAGTGGTGGCATGGTTTCAAAACCCAGCTCCCATGGTAAATGCTGCAGTTCTGGAATAGGTCAGCCTCACTGAAATGTTGGAGGCAAAGGCATCCAGCCATGCTATAAGAATCTATAATCACCGGGTTTCTTTCAGGAGGCCAAACTGTTGGTGTTCCTGGACAGGAACAGATGACCATCCTAAGGGTCCATTGTCACACAGCAAAGGTGAGTCATGAGGGGTTAGTGAGAGATCAAAAAAGGGACCCATCAGGGAAGGAAGGTTGATGGAGGGGCCATGACTCAGCATACATGATGGATCCAATCCCAAATGCTTCCAGGGGCTAGGCAGGACACCTCAGTGGCAAGAGGAGGACAGGAGGAATTTACATCGGGGTCTCAGGGGCAATGAGAAACCCCAGTACAGTGCCTCATCACCAAGAGGAATGTGGCATCAGGGCTTCTGAGTTTGCAAGTGACACTGGACCCCTGGATTTTGAGTGAAGTCTCTTAATTTTACATATTGGCTCAAAATGTGTATTTAAAAACTGTGTGATAAATAGATGATCAAAATATGACTTGTACACACATTTGCAATTTTTTTCTTTTTCATCATGGTTTAGCACAGGAAATTGAATACAGTTCCTGTGATATAGAGTAAGACCTTGCTGCTTATCCCGTCTACGTATATATAACAATTTGCATCTGCTAACCCCAAATATCCAACCGTCCTTCCCCTACCCTCCTCCCTCGGGGCAACCAGAAGTCTGTTCTCTGTGTTTGAGTCTGCTTCTATTTCCTAGATAGGTTCATTTGTGTCATATTCTAGATTCCACATATAAGTGATATCTTCTGACGACCTTTGTCTCTTTCTGACTTACTTCACTTAGTATAATTATCTCTAGGTCCAACCTTCTTGCTCCAAGTGGCATTATTTCGCTCTTTTTTTATGACTAATATTCCATTTATACACACACACACACACACACACACACACACCACATCTTCTTTATCCTTTCATCTGATGTACATTTAGGTTGCTTCTGTGTCTTGGTTATTATAAACAGTGCTGCTATGAACACTGGAATGCATGTATCTTTTCAAATTATTGTTTTGTCAAGAATGGAATATTATTCTGCTATGAAAAGGGATGGAGACCTGACCCAGGCTATAGCATGGGTGAAACTTGAAAACACTGTGCTTAAGTGAAAGAAGCCAATCACAAAAGAAGCTATCACATACTGTATCCATTTATAGGAAATGCATTAGGCAAATCCATGGAGACCAAACATAGGTTAATGGTGGCTGGATTTAAGAAGGAGGGAGAATGAGGAGTGACTCATGGCTAAAGAATAGGATGTTTCTTTTTGCAGAGATAAAATGTTTCTAAAATCAGATAGTGATGGTAGTTCCCCAACTCTGAATATACTAAAAATCACTGAGTTGTACACTTTAAGAAGGGTGAATTTTATGGTATGTGAATTATACCTCAATACAGCTATTATAAAATAAAAAATAGAACTAGAAGGAGGCCTTTTTAAGAAGCACCAGTATATATTTCCATCAAAATATTCTGAGCTCTTAAAAAGTCATAGACAATTGGCAGATTAGTACATTGTAAAAAAAATTACAAAATTGGGGTGTCCTGACTTAAATTTGAATCCTAGCTATACTACTTACTGGATGCTTGATCTTGAACAGTTTAGCTATTCTGAGTTCATTGACTGTTATCTGAAAATTATGAAATTAAATTT